CTTGTATCAAAGACTGACCATAATCACAATGACCCCGATGGCTCAGCATAGACCCACTATACTGGAACTCGCTAAGAACTCCTCCTTTGAGAATCATCGTATGCAGCCACAGGAAGAGTATTGCATAGCCCCCAAACGAAATACAACGAAATCCTACCGATTTCATCGTTTCAGTTCCATACAACTTCCCAACATGAAATAGTCTACGAATATCCTTCAAAATCTAAAATCTAATCCTGGTACAAGACAAATCTATGCTATGGATAAGTGATAGGTTTTATGGAGGTAGGATGAAGGTTGCAGATTCATACTTGAATATCTTGTTTCACGTGCTGAGCAAACTTAGTGATGAGCTAGCAGCAGAAAGGCGAGAGAAGTAGACCTGCAAGTATCAACTGGCTGCTCCTTTCCTTTGGGACTGCCTTGCTTTAGATTTCTTCGTAGCTGCGACTTTGCAGTTCCGGAGTTTCCGAATTGGACACGTGACCTGTCGTGTAGCGTCAGCTCCGCTCGCTGACGGTGCCAAATGGGAGCCAAAACAATAATAAAATAATAAGCGAAGTCGTAGCGCTACTAAATAAAATACATTTTGTTAATAAGCGAAGACGCGCCAATAAAAATAATAATTACATATAGTATACGAAGACGCAGCACTAAGCAAATCTAGCATACCCACACGCACACCAATAAATAAAATAGCCACATATAGTAAGCAAAGGCGCGTAAAATAACCACAATTTGAAAAAGACGGCGAACCACCACTAAGCAAAGCAATCGCACAATAAGCGAAAACACCCCAACGAGCAAAATAATTACCCATAGTTAAGAGAAGACGCATCGAGCAGCAAAATAGCCGCATATAATCAATAAAGATATATAATATATATATATATATATATAGATTCAAAATAATCATATATAATGAGTGAAAATATATATGAATAAGTAAAATGATTATACATAATAAACGAAGCCGACTAATAGCTAGTATAATTTAACAATAAGAAAAGATATATTTATATACGCAATAATCTTATATAAGCGAAGGAATATTAATAAACAAAATAACTTCATAAAAAATAAGGATATACTAATAAATAAATAAGCGTATATAAACAATAGATTATCAAATAAAATAATCGCTTTTAGAGGAGGTCGACTATATTTAATGGATATATGATGACGTCTCGATCTCTGATTTGAGAGATTGGAAATATTTTGATTTATGAGTTTAATTAGGATATGATAATAATTATTGATTGATAATCTTACTGCAGTATCGATTGATAATATTATTATAATATTAAGATTTGAAATTTGATGATGCTATATTAATTTTATTATTATTCTGAATATCGAAGATAATTTTTAGATGGTCCTTCGAGGAATCGCACGATTGATATATTTTATAGCTGCATTCTTTTGATTTTGATTAGATGTGTGATAATCTTGAGGACATCCGGGCGGGAATCGGAGAATTCAAAGTGGAGCGGCGATACTTTCAAATATCTTTTATTCTTGAAGAGCGGGGATAGTAGAATATATATTCTCTAATCTCATATTGAGGAGTTTCATATCGAAAAATTTATCGAAATTTGATAATTATTATTAGAACTATCTGCCCGAGAGATATTTCAAAGATTATTTCAATTCTTCTTATATTACCACGGAGGTATCTATCGAATCTGCGTTGTTTATTATATTTTGATTATGGATTTGCACTTCAGAAAAGAGCATATTTTATTAAATAAAAGGATATATATTATATATCATTCTAGAAATATGAATTCATGATCTGAATATTGATCGATCTTTAAATCGAAATATATGATTTTTTATATATTAATAGATCGATTTCTCCCGAGAAATTTTTAGAATCATGATGAATCTGGGCTCATCATTCGAAATAAAGAATGATATTCTCCTATCTCATCTGGGCTCATCATTCGAAATAAAGAATGATATTCTCCTATCTCTCCTATATTCTTGGATTGATTTGATATAATCATTATATTCATGATATTAGGGGCCATATCAACCTTATCTCCAATCTTAATCTAAATATTTCAGGATAAAGAAATATCTAATTCAGAATGAGAAATATGCTGTTCCTTATAAATATTATATCCTAAATTGCTTTCATAAATGAGCTCGACATAATGATATTTCTTATATCTTATATTTTCTAGATTATCTAACCATACTGTCCCTTCTATGGAGTCGTCCAATATCCAGCATAATTTCTCTTCCTTCCCGCGATCGCGCCTCTCTTCCCATCCGCCCGCATATCATATATCCCGCCCGCGACTTATCCCTATCACGAATATATAATATATATCTATATAAATATATATATATAAGATAGATAAGAATAATAGAGCAGAAGAGCTCAGATCATATAAATATAGAAATTCATATAAAATAAGAGAAATATTAGTCAAATAAATAATAATATAATTCTATCATATTATCCCTATCATCCCCATATTCTAAATAATCCTTATTACTTATTCCTGCCAATAATTTATATAATTTTTTAAAATTAGTGAAATAAATAATAATATAACACTATCATATTATCCTTATCATCCTCATATTCTAAGCAATCCTTATTTCTTATCCCTGCCAATAATTTATATAATTTTTAAATTTTCGAAATTTTTAATATTTATATGAATAATTTCTTTATATTTTTTATTCAGCATATTACTATCTAAATTAAATATATCTATAAAAAAAATCATTAAAAGATTTCTTGTCATTAATTAATATATAGAATTATAATATATGAATCATATATATTATATAAATAAAATAGATATATTTATTATCCTTATTTTTTAGATTTACTATATTTAATTTGTATTCTAATCAATTTCCTCCTTATTCTTATCTATCTAATACTACTAACTCCCTTAATCGATCTAGTATTTAAAATCATCTATTAATTATCAATTTCTCTGCCCATTTTTTATTATTCACAACTTAATATTATCCCAAATAAAACACCTCGAATCTATCTATTAAAGAGAATACCTAAATCCTCATCTATTCCCAAACTATCGATATACAATCACGATTCCAATCAAATTGCCCGAAGACGATATCTTGAAAGAAAATTTAAATCTTCAATAAGAGAAATGATCTAAATAAGAATCAATCAAAATTATCTCAATGAAAATCATTTAAATAATATCTATCTAATATCGCAACTATTCATTTAAGCCGAAAGATCTTAAGATAAAATAATAGATTTTATTCGCCTGCGGACTTTTACATTATCACTAAAAAAACGAACCAGGAAAGCTATGCTGTCGACTATCAGAATGAACTAATACTCGCATAAAAACAAGAACCTATAAAGAAGAGACAAAAAATTAATTATCGAGACAAATGATTATTCGTAATCGTAATCTTAGTAGTATAGAACCAAGAACAGCACTAATAAAAAAACATGAAAATAATATATTTTCCAAATCTCGTAAAAAATTCTTTAGCGCGGAATTTTCGCCATGGCATCGTATATTCTGCCCGTGATCATATAAATACAATGATAAGGTCTTTTAGATCAATATTATATATATTTTTTATTTAGATATATATATATATATCATTATCCAATTTCTTAAAGAATTATAAATTTCAAGATAATATCATAAATCAATTATGATATTTATAATTCCTGAAATTATTATTATTATCGATTAGAAGCAAAACATGATTCGCCATGAAATACGATTCGCAACAGCTTCCGCATGATATGCACCAATGACGGGCTGCCTTCATTAATCCTCCTGAGTTGTCGCTTTCCCATCTTTTGCCCCGAGACAACAGCTGCACCCCAGATCGCCTGACTACCAACCAGTCAGGATGTGACCCAACAAGCACCGTCAGAGAATGCTTCAGGTTCGCCCTGAGATCTCCGACGATACTGTCCCGACATAGTCGAAAAAAACGACCTCCTGTGCACACAGCACGGAGACTCCGCGATGGCAGCTCGCATGCGCTCAGGCGATGCAGAAGCAAAGATCATCCGTAACCTCGGTGGTAACATGCCGCCGCTTGAAGCAGGATGGCATCTAGAATCTAGATCTCATCTTCTCCAGGAAATTCCCGACCCAAAGTCGAGTGGACACTGTAACAGCCATGAAGCGTAGATGCGCATCCAAGGCTTTCGGAAACCTCTCTAGTTAACAGTTAACAGTGACAAGGGCTGGACATCTGAACAGCGGTCGATTCTCATAGGGGTTAAAGAACCCCACGAAAGACCGTACTTCTTGTGTGACCCGTTTAAAGAGCCGGAAGAGTCTTGCCCGGCAGTCCAGAAGCACATGGGGGTTATAGGGCTCAGGGTATGGTGGAGGAATGAGATCGCTTCAGGAACCCTAAACCCCAAACCCTAGACCCTAAACCCTAAACCCTAACCTCATTCTTGGCCAAGTGTCCATCACTTTGTTCTGGCTTTCGAGCTTTTCCTGAGCGGCCCGAACAGCTCGGTGCGGCCGTTGAGGTGTTGAAGGTTCATGGGCAGATGTAAGTAGGGTTATACTAAGGTAAAGCAACTATAGACTACAGGTATACTAATGTATATTATCTACCCACCACACCGTTTTAAAGTACTCACAGTCCTTCTTACCAAGAACAACAGACCTGTAGCAGTTTCAATACCCAGGCTGGTCGAAACGGTCAGTGGAGTTAAACAAGCAAAAACAATACCACTCCCACATATAACCCTAAACCCTAAACCCTAAACCCCCAAATCTATGTTTGTCATTCTCATGATAGGTGTCCATAGTACCGTCATCGTGCCAGGGCTTTGGCGCGGTTAGGGTGGGGTTTGTTTAGGGCAGTCTAGGGTTTTTTTTAGGTCGAAGGGCTTTGGGGTGTAGGGGTTTAGGGTTTAGGGTTTAGGGTTTAGGGGTGGTCGTATGTAGAATGGGAAAGATGCGTGGCTACACGAATTTTACCCTGTCATAACTTGGCCGTTGTCCAATCTAGGGTGTAGAGCTTCGGAGCTTGCAAGTTCAGAGTTTACGTCTAGGGTTCTGGGTTTGGGTTTAGGGTCTAGGATTTCGGGTTTAGGGTTTAGAGCACAGCCCGTACTGGTCGGAACTGGCAGAGCCCCTGTAGGGACTGACATCATATTCGTGGTATATGAAAACGCCTAGCCCTAACTTGGAGAAATGCTTCTAGTCAGCTCAGGTGTGTCTGCAAGATTGTGATCATACGAGCTTTGCGCGGGCATCTGGGTCAGTCTTGTACCATACAGCCATCTTCTCAGCATCATTCTCACCATCACCAGACCATCAACAACAGCAGCAACACGTCATCATCTAATCAGCATCGCCATCACCATCCCAAGACGCAGGAGACCTTGCCTGCTGAAAAGCCGGGGTGCTAAAATCTCCTGCGTGGATGATCCGAGCCCCTGGTCCTCACCGTGTTCTGATCTCGGATGAAGTCTCGAGGTTTCCGGGTTCAGTGAACCCTGCTGAAACTCGAATCCCTCATCAAGTGGCCTCAACCTGCAACTCATCTAATCTAAGCTGCCAACTACTGACACCGGCATTTCTGGTCGCAAGCTTCGGAGACCCAGCTGCCTACTTCTCTGACCATTGTGAATTTCTAGAAGCTGCACAGTCATGGCTTCCTCAAGCTCCATGACGAAGCCTGATGACAAAGCCCCGGCTGCTCAAACGCTCAATCGTCGACCCGAACTGGCTCAATCCGGGATCTACAGGTGGGGGTTTCCGAAAACAGGGGACCCTAATATAGTACCCTAAATAATTGGATCCTTATTATAAGGACCCCAAATAAGGTACCCCGAATTTTCGGAAACTCCCAGGTCTGTTAAGTTGAACTTCACCCCGCTGTGCCTTGATAAAAGCTCGACAACCCTCCTAGAACACCTTTGCTTCATCTGCTCAGACCAGTAAAAATCACTCAAGAGTCTACACCCAAAGATATTAGTGATTATTCGTGCTTCCGAGCTCGCTAGGTTTAACGGTAGCCTATCCTGTGTTCATCCTGAACATCATAAGCATCACCGCGACCATACGGATAGTCTTTTCCTTCACCTTGAACAAGATCGTCACAACCCTAAGCAAAATGGCTCACCACCCGATATTACAGGCCGTCTGGAAGCTTGCAAGCCAATACATCACCAATGGCTGCCGCAGCCTAATATAGGGGCCTCAATAATTAGACTTGGGTTTTCCAGTATATTATACCACCATCATAATAAGGAGCCCCCAAAATACTGTAGGTAACTATTTAAACCCCTATATTAAACTGCTTAAGGAAGAAGATTCTGGTCTCAGTACCCCCCAGGAGAAGTCCTTGACGATCTTGTCGATGGCTGGGAGTGTCAGGACCTGGGTGCCTGCAGGGTCACACGGCCCGCAGGTGACAGGCCCTGTAGGGTGCTTATTATGACGAACGGAATTAGGGTTTAGGGTTTAGGGGTTTAGGGTTTAGGGTTTAGTGACTATGTCCGTACCACAACAAGTGGTCCTAGCTGAGTTTGCATGACGCGCCAGCTATAACAGCTAACTCTAAAAAGCATGTGCGAAGTTAATCCTCAGCCCTCCGAGCTGTAGCTTCTTAAACCCTCGACGTTCAGCCCGAAGTCCCTAAACCCCAAAATCCCTAAACCCGAATCCTAGACCCAAAATCCCTAAACCCGAAGCCTAAACACCACCTCAATCCACAATTCCTAGACCCCCAGAGCCCTGAACCCTCAGCCCATGTCCTGCGCTTTGGAAGGCTTTCGAGATGGCTCGGACAACGACGGCCTTCGCTCAGCCGGGAGTTTCGACTGAGGGCTTGGGGCGATTCGATATAATGCAAAAGCTTCTTGTTTGGATTTAGGGTTTAGGGTTTAGGGCTTAGGGTTTAGGGTTTGAGGGTCGTTGTCCGTCCGCACGGGTTGGAGGCTTCCGGGACTACCTTTAGGGTTTCGTGTTCGCCAGCCCAGTCGGCGCCCTGGCCGCACTACTTTTGAAGCTCGCTTCAGTCGTCCTTAAACCCTAAACCCTAAACCCTAAACCCTAAACCCTAAAGTCTCAGGAGGCAAGAAAGCCAGGAGGCCCAGGGCCCAGACGCGCAGGCCAAAATATGACCCCAATTCCGGGCCATTCTGGCCCTCCTCCCCAAGTGAAACTCCACTAGCAATCTGTGGTAGGGGCAAAAATGGCCGTTCGAAAGACCTGCAACATAAGTATGAACCAGCCTCGTATTGGTTTTCGGCTTTATATGTAAAAGGGCAGAGGGTTTTGGAGTAGAGTTTGGTACACCTGGTTTAGGCTTCGGCCGTCAGAGTTGGTCTCGCGATGCCATCTTACTTCTTGGTGCTTCCTATCTCCTGCGATAAAAAGCCAGCGTGACCCGCTATGATGCTGCAAGAATGAGACAGACTCCCGAGCTGCTTTTGCTTTGGAACCGGTCCCCTTTCAGGCTTCACTCGCCAACTGCCGATACTGTAGGCTTACAGTTGATTCACAGAGGAACCTGATTAAGAAACCCTGGGTCTTTATTTGGGTGCTTAGTATGGATCTTAATATATCGGCGTTATAGAGCCAGGGTTTCTTAATTCGGTTCCTACATTAGGAGCTTTGGACTGCTTGGGCAAACTCTTCGGCTTGGAACTCTGCAGAGGATGCGGCACACAGCCATCTGACCCTGTCCAACTGCAGCTCAGCGGCCGTGGTCTCCGCTGTCAGTGGACTTGCGTGATCCGCCTGTCGGCAGTCATATCGTGAATCAAAATCCTTGGAATTGTTGATGTAGAAATCCGTGGCACCGCAATGTAGCACGGATCAAGGCGAATGATAAGCCCTCTTGCAAGCTCCAAGATGTGGCTCAGTTCCCGCATCCAGACATGCTTTAGTAGAAAAGCAATGTTTTTATGAAACAGAGCCTGAGTTGATGAACCACTATACTGTAGGGGCCTTAATAAGTAGAATAGGGTTTTGGGGGGTTCCTTATTATATTTATATAATATAGTATACCCCCAAACCCTATTCTAATTACTAAGGCTCCTATATTCGATGTCCCGGAAGCTTCTGGCCCACAGGAAGCCCGCGACGACGCGGACTTGGCCCTCTCAGAAAACTCCCCGCCTCGGTCGGTCTGGCAGTCTTCTCCGGTGTGATCCGCGGCGTCGTGTGGGCCTTTTTCTCGGGAGTCGTGATGTGCTCCTCGGGCTGGTCCTGGCGAGACACAAACCGACGGGAATCCGATGGGTACTTTCAACGCGTCTGCCCGGAAGAATCAGATGACCAGAGCGCATTTACTCGTACTGTGCACGTGTTTGCTTTCAAGGTCTTTCTGGCCAAAGCTTGCGGGAGCAAGTCGGCAAGCAAAGAGCCCCCAAACCGCTGAAGCGTTAGATGAACTACGCCAAACTGATCCCAAAGCCTTGAGCCCTAATATAGGGGCCTTGACAATTAGAATAAGGTTTTGGGGGTCCACTATACCCTAATTATAATAAGGAACACCAAAAATAGTATTGGTAATTATTTAGTCCCCTACATTAACCGAACCGCGAGCAAGAACCCCCTGCGACACTCCCTCTAAACCCTAAACCCTGCTTGGAGGTTCATGGGTAGTTATAAGTCGGGTTATAAGTCCCCCAATATGGGTTATAAGTATAGCTACCCTACTTCTAACCCCGTTTATAACTACCCATGAACCTCCAAGTAAACCCTGAACCCTAAACCCTAAACTCTAAACCTGACTCCCACCTGCATCGGCGTTGCAGGAGACAGGTTGCACTCCCTCGCTGGACCGTCGCACAGCGCCTAAAGGAGCCGATGAAGATGCTTCAAGGTGTAAGGTAGGGTTTAGGGTTTAGGGTTTAGGGTTTAGGGTTTAGGGTTTAGGGTTTAGGGTTTAGGGTTCAGGGAGGGGCCTTTAAAATTAGAATAGGGTTTTGGGCTCCTTTCTGGTATAGTCATAATAAGGAGCCCCGAGGAATTATATTGTGATTGGTTTTCATTTAGGGTTTTTTTTTCGGGCTCAAGAGTCATCTAAGAGGCTCTTCGATGAACATGCCTGGCTGTGTCCACGGGCGCAAATGGCAGAGGACACTCGTACTCCAAATCTTCGCAAAATCCCGAAACCTTATCCAGCCTTAACCTCTATAAACCCATGATAGCCTATAGAAAAGATGGCTTGCCCTCATTCCCAGCGCCTCCGGTTCCGGAGAGCGCTTGCGTTTCATCCCTGGCAGCTGCAGCTGTAGCTGCCTCGAACTGAGGGTTAGGGCCTGGGGTTTGGGGTTGAGGGGCCTTTGGGATTGGGGCTTTTGGAGATGAAGTTTTGGGCTGTACGATCTAGGCATATCTAGGGTTTAGGGCTCTAGTTGCTTCAGAATTCACGCAAGAAGCGTTGCAGGCGGGAGCGGTCTCCTTAAACCCCAAGCGGCACCTTTCAGCATCTTCGCCAATGGCAGTCTTCTTCTCCCGCATGTCCCGTCGTTCTTCTCGAAGCGCCTCTTTTGCATCACATCAGGTCCGACAGGGCCTGTGAGGACCCCGCGCAAAAGACTACGTGTGTATGTGTAGCTATGTATATATCTATATATATGTGGGTATTTAGATAGATAGACAGCAGACAGACAGATAGATAGATATACAATATGAGTATGCATGTATCAATAGGTAACTTCAGTGGACCATAGGGGAAACTACGAATGCTTGCCAAGGATCCCTACAACATGACAATTCAGCAGGCCATCAGCAAGACCAACATCTCCGCGTCCAGCCTAAACCCTGCACCCTAAACCCTACACCCTACACCTCTAGACCCTGAACCCTAAATCTCTAAACCCTAAACCCTACACCTCTAAACCCTCAACCCTAAACCCCACACCTCTAAACGCTAAACCCTAAACTCTCCACCTCTACAGCATCCCACCGGCTTCTTTCGCACCCACTCCACTACGGGAATGAGCAGGATCCTGATGCTAAACTCCTGGGCAAGTTACTTCAGACATCAAACAACCTTGACTTTTTGAAGTTGAGTTTAGGGTTTAGGGTTTAGGGTTTAGGGCTTAGGAGTCTACAGCCT